AATCCTACTATGATCTAATTCTACTGAGATTCTTCTTTTCAAAATACAAACATCTCTAAGTTCTCCATTTGAGAACTTATGAATTTATGAAACAAAGAAAATAATAAAAATCAAAAGAAAAAGAAAAACATTTGCATTTCTAACAGGCAATCTTTTATGAATATTACCTTAGAAGAAAATAAGTATGTTTGACTTAATGCTGTCTGTCATAAAATGACCACAGGGACAGGGCTAAATGGCTTTTAGTGTAAGAAAGATTGAACATATGAGAAATTGTTCTCTCCTAGAATATTTCTAAACCACACATGTAATTTATATCACAGCAAAATTCAACACAAAAGGGCTTTGTTTTTGGTAAAATAACCTGCAAACATGTTTAATGAAGATACAAACTGAGAGCACAGTTGAAAACTGTTGACAGCCATGAGCTTCAGACGGTGATTTCTACTGAATATTTTACCCATGGAAATATATGAAAAGCAGTAAATATGGAACTAAAAGGCAAAGTTATGGAAGAGATGTAATGTTTTAATCTTTCAATTCTCATTTCTGTGTCAACATCACAAATAATATGCTCTGAACATTCTCCCTTGTAATGGGAATGAGAGAAATTCATTTTGCAACGAAAGCTTACGCCCATGGATATTTGAAAACGACGTCAGCATTGAAGTTAATTGATATCTGTTTCTATTGGGATTTTCTTTGAGAAGTGACAGACTCTTTCAGAGGAGAAGGGGTAATTCTTTATACTGATATTCCATTCCATTTACTGTATGATGTAAATGAATCTCCCATTAATGAATTCAAAGGTCAGCTTAATATCCAAAGCAGTCTTTATTGCAGGCATGTATTCTCACTCAAGAGGAATAGCTAGATCCCAAAAAATAAATCTTAAAGAATATAACACAGGGCACATTTTCAAACTGGTAATGCCCAGTTCTTCCAGGACCATGTCTTATAATTCTTTTTTCCATGGCTTATAGACTAAAGGATGTGAAAAGAAAAGAGCAGTTTATAGGTCTGAATGAGACAGAAGAGGAATCTGGCTATATTACCTGAATACTCTAGCTATTTCACTTATTTAAATTTTAGTAACCATTTTTAAGTGATAATGAATGCATGACAAAATATAAGATAAAATGTAGAGTTAAAGCATTAAATGGTATAGTGGAAAGAGTCCTGGACTCTGCTTCTTTCCTTCCCTCTTATTGTATAACTTCAGATAAATTACTTAAGTAATTTACAGCCCTGGCCCTAACATCTCATTTTTGGTTTCCTTATCTGAAAATGACAGTTATTGTGATGAGGATCAAGCAAAACCTTAGAGTCTATGCAAATGGTCAGGATATTTCAGTGCTAACTTGAAAAATGTATCTAGCAGCTATTGCCAATCCAAAGTGTTAAAGTTAAAAACTTTAGGGGTGAATATCTGACCTGAATTATCTAGGCTTACTGTTTCAAGTTCTTATTTTACCTCTATAGACATAGCCTTAGAGTTGAATAAAATGTGAAAAAGTTAAGTAGGTACTCTAAGAGATTCTATTAAAATTTTCACTGATTTTCTATTATAAAATTAATACATACTTATTATAGAAGCTTCCAGCAGCTCAGAACGGTATAAAGAAAGCGTACTTCCCTTCCACTGCTTGCTTTCTCCTGCTCTCCCTCTCCTTCTCTCTCTCACACACTCACACACACACATGCACAACTCTCCATTTCCACTCCCCAGAGATAACCATATGGACAGTTTTTTGTAAAATTAAATACTTCAAAAATGGAACACATTGCAAAACAATGTATGGATTTAAACAAAATATATTAAAGAAAAATCTAAAATTATCCCATGCCACTCAGGATTGGTGAAATCTCAAATTCCCTTGGAACTGAATGACCAATTGCTGGGGTGAGGGAATTGAAACAATAACTCTGTAAACAAACTATCTAAAGACTATGGCTAGAGTCAGTCTACAGCAAAGGTGGAATAAAGCCTTCAAGGAACACCACCTCCTCCTCATGGTTAACAGCTTGATGATGTTCTTCAACATGTTTTAATGATTATCATACCTTCCCTTTCACAAAGGATTGATTTATTATGGTTTAAATTTAAAGAATACTGGTTTCTCAATTTTGAATCAGGCTTAGGTTACAGAATACATAAAATCAATGACTTTGTTCTAGGCAAGAAAAAACACAGTGTTCACTTAAGTGCAAAAGGAACAGTCCTGGGGAAAAATTCTCCATGCAGTTCTATATGATAATTATTTCCACTACCCGCCTCGCCACCTCTACTCCTTTCCTCATCACTGTCATCAGCACCACCACATTTAACACTTTTATGGCATCTTAAAATTCACAAACAACTTCATATATTGTTTATTTTAATGCTTAAAACAATTTTGTCATGTAGAAAGAATACTCTTAGCTCTTCAATTTTCAGATAAAAAAAGGGAAGCTCAGAGCAGAGAAGTGACTGGCTCAAGATCAGTCACCCAGTAAAGGTATGCTCACCCAGACGTACTGATGACCCCTAAATGACTATCTCCAACTCACATCTCTCCTCTCAAGCTCCAGGACCCACGTCCAATCATGACTGAACACCTGCGCTTTGCAGTTCCAAATGAAATTAAATTCTGTTTCCAGGCTTAGCCCATAACAGTCTCCCATAAACTTGCTTCTCTTTCAATGGTTTTCCTTCTCAGTGGATGGCACAATTATCTTCTCAGTTATTCAAGCCAAAAACCTAGATATCATCCCTGCCCACTACCCCTTTTCTCATTATGCATATAGACTTCATCATCACATCCTACACATAATGCCTTCTGAAGATTTCTCAAATTTGTTTACCTCTTCTGTAACCCAAGATCCCAGCATCTCACATTGACTCATTTCTGTGTCACGCTCTGCCCTTCTCTCACCACCCCCACTTGAAGGATTCTCAGCTCTGCAGCCAGAGTTATCGGGTAATTCCTCTGCTTAAAATCTTTTGTTGGCTTCATAGTGCTCTTCAGATAAAGATGAGAATCCTTACAGGGGTCTATAAAGGCCAGTATGATCTGACCCCTGTAAACTGGCAAGATAAATGAATTCTTTCCATAGGTTCAGCATACCACGATGTCTTTTAAAAAATAAATGGATATTTATGCTTCCTTTAATAATATAACATTTAATAAGTGAAGCACATTGATTGTAGAATAAAGTTTGCACTTGTGAATTTTTTAAGGCATTAGTAATAATATGTGACCACATATCAACCTTTATGAATTTCTTAAATATAACCAAATCCATTTTCTTATAATAACATATGACTTAAAATGCATGCACAAATATATGTAATAAAATATATAATATTTATGTAATTTATATAACTTACTTCATTGTGTGTAATTTGTCTCGAGCTTTTGGAGAGCTATAGGACGGAGGCATGGACACTCCCATGTTGTATGGATTAGTCACCTCAGGGTCTAACACACAGGGTCAGTTTCCTGGGTATGTGGCTTGGGTAATCCGCATTTAGAAGAGCCCTGTGTTGCTTTATCGCTCTACTGTTTTGGTCTTGAAATTCTTAATAATTTTTGAGCAAGGGGCCCTACATTTTCATCTTGCCCTGGCCCTAGAAACTGTTTAGCCCATTCCTGTTAAAAAGAATCTCAGTGTATTAAGATTTGAACTCTCTCATGTCATCCAGGACCAAAGTGTTTATTGCATTCTCTTTCTGTATTTCATGAACTCAACAGGAAGAAGCTCTGAGGACCCTGGAATCATAATTGTGAATCACTGGGGTGGGATGGGGGAGGGTCTGTATATATTATATCCAAACATAGATTTCAGACCAACCAAACATAAGCTTCTACTCAATAAATGAGATTTCCAAATACAATGAAATCTGGTTAACAACTTGGGCTAGTGAATGATGCAATGCCAACAGATACTCTATATGGAACATGCCTTAGATTTAGCTGTTACTTGAAATAAATCCTGGCCTAAAATATGGGGTAGAACTGGGCAAAGACAGTATAACCGACTTTACTGAAAAGTCTGGTGATAGCCATATTAGAAAATTTTTTATGTTTTAGAATATTCCTTTAATACTTTGTACATAGAAAAATTAAAAACTAAATTCCTGTGGGAAACTCTGCATGTGAAAAATGTTTCTCCAGCTGGGTACTCCCAGGATTGCAATTTTCATTGTGAGCAATATGATGATGAGGGAAAATTCTGTGTTACTATTGCTTAAAAAATACTCATTTTAAAGCACATCTTCTGCTACTTTTATCTTGTAGAAATTGAAAGGCTGCTATCAGCTGTAAGTTACTATTGAAAATATACAATTATTACTATTTTGCATTAAAAGTGAATGATACTAGAAGAGTTGATTTACTACTTATCCTAACTAACTTAGATGAACTTAACAATTAATATCTAGGTAACATTTAAATTTTAGGCTGGCAATTTTCCCCCATGAACTCAAAATTTACTTAGAATATGACAATTCTGACACATAGTAACCACACTAGAGGGGGTGAGGATTTAATAATATGGGTAACTGTGGAACCACTGTGTTGTATATTTGAAACCAATATAAGATACTGTGTATCTATGATATTTCAGTAAAAAAGAGAATATGACAATTTCAACTTTTTGACAGAGTTATGTTTCTGGGATAAAAATTAAATGATATAGTTTCTAGAAATTCCTATTAGTGATAAATGGGAAAAATTCAGGTGTAGTGGTGTACACTTCAAGAAGATGAATTTTGGTGTCAGATTTGGGTTCAAGTCTGTATTTCGCTAACTATGTGATAATTTACTATGTGATGTTTCTAAGCCTCAGTGTCTGAATTCAAAATAGAAATAACCATGAATGGGGCTGATGTGAGGCTCAATCAGATAACACATGTAAATCTTCAGTACAGTGGGTGGGGCGTGTTGAACACTCTACAGTTGTAGCTACCAACATCAATAGGACTTTTCCTCCAGGATTTTAATCTATTAAATAATTACCTTATTGACTGGAACAATGTTTTTGACATTGTAGTAGAAGCCAAAATAAACCATGTTGAAGACTCCATGACGTCCCAGAGTCGCTGTGAATCCTTTGTTGAGGCCCCGGAGTCCCAAGCCTTCCTTCTTAATGATGTGTCTTGCATAACTCAGAGTGGACGGTTGCTGCCAGAGAAAGAAACAAAACCAGAAAGATCATCTTTGAGACTGTGAAACAGAGTAAGTCACCCTTGCAGCTTCCCTTCAAGCCAGAATTCTTATGGACTTTTTTCCCCAATAATGAATGAATAATCATGCTGAGTTCTGTGCTTTTAAAATTAGGAAACCCAGAAAGTAAACAAAATTGCATGTATAACAAGGGGGCTTAAAGGGAAGCTTGTTGGCAAAGAAAAAAACATTGTTGGTGGGATTAGTAAACCTAATGTCATGTATAAACCATCAACACACCAACATGTAAATAGCTGTATATAATTCTGGATTATCCACACTAATGGAGGGGATTAGCCATATAGATAAACTGGCCATCCATAACTGTGCATAACCCAAAAGGAATTTGTGTTTGGTTCCTCAATCCAGCATACTTACTTTTCTAATTATGTTTTTCTAAAGAGAATGTTACAATTAGTCTTGATTCTTTTGCCTCAATAGTTTAAACTGGCACCAGGTTAGAATCAGGCATGGATAGGTAGCAGTTGATTGCTGACTTCCTCAAGAGGGCAGGCAATCAGTGTGGGTATCACTTGCTGTGTAAATGATACATCAATGGTGCTGGGAGGAACTTAACTTCTTCCCAATCCTCTGATGATCCAAGGTTACAGTACCTTGAGACTTGTGGAATCCAGTCTATAGCAATTTTTGGAAAATGTTAAAAACTCACTATAGTTTGCCCTTAGGTTTATAATTCATTACAATACGAATCACAACAATTCACGTGGGTCTTTAAAAAAACGGTTGAGTGAGTGTTTCCTTTTTGGAATTAGAGTACAAAGGATATATCTCCTTAAATGTTGACTGAATAGTAACTAGGAGGAAGTGTTCAGTATTTAATTTTTTTTCCTGCCCATGAGGCAAGCACTGACACGACGTTTGTGTAATATTTCAGTGGAGCAGGTTGCTGAGGTGGTCATGGCAGTCTGATGCACTTTCTTACCAAAAGTGTTTTCTTATCATGTGCAATTAAGGCTGCGTCAGCAGAAGAGAATAGAACAAATCCAATCAGGGCATTTCATCCAACTTGTATTTGTAGCTGTATAATTAAACATGATACATCTAAATGAGCTTGGTTTATAGAGTAAATCCTATAGGTTTTGCTGATAGAAGTTTTAAAAACTCTTAACTGGCGACAAGTCTACACCTAACTTCATCTTTTCATTTTAGAGGATTAATTAAAATAAATTGTATTAAGCTTAAGGAACCCCTTTTTTTGTAACATGAAAAAACACACATGAGAATTTATCTTCAAACAATTTCATATTTCAAAGACATTTCATATAGGGCAATCAAAATTTTCAGAGGATTAAAAGCTCACTCTGTTCTATAAAATGGGGCTAATTTGTGTCCTGGCACATTAACTATCAACCCAAATTATTTGTTTTGTTTTTCAAATTAGACTCAAGGACAAGGAATTCATTTCTGTTGGAAAGACCCTAGAAGCGCTGAGCACACTGTGCAGGCACCGCTCTCTTGCTCTGCGGAAGGCAGCCTGGAGGGCAGAGGAAAGGAGAGGTGGCTTTCCTGGGGATGGAAGGAATATGGACGAAGTGAAGATGTCTGGGTCCAGGCTGACCATCGCTGGTGCTCCAGGCACCCAGCCCAAGCTTTTTCTCCATCCACAGCAACTGTGAGTTCCTGAAGGCAGGAGGGCAAAAAAGCCATCTCGATCGACCGCAAAGGAAGAACCCAGTGGTTTTGAATAAAAGTGCAGATTCACATGGCTTTCCCTTAATAAAACAGGTCTTTTTAAAGATTGTTTTAAAATCCTTGTGTACTAAATCATCAGAATTAATAGAGAAGACTTCTACTGGGTCTTGGTGAGGGTCAACAAATATTCAAGTGACATTTACTAATGGTCCATTGCCTGATTTTCACCAGGTTGGGTATTAGGTGGGTAGAGTGAAGTGTAATGAACTCTTACTTGTGAATCATTAAGTAAATCAGAGGGTAGTACAGTAGTGAGAAATAGGCGGTTGGAGCTGGACAGGTCCAGGTTTGAGTTTCAGCAAGGTAAGTGCACCCTAGTAATACTTGCTAACTTGTATAAGCATTTTATCCTCTATGGATTTATCCTCAGTCTATAAGGCGAGTAGTAGAATCTTCCTCCTAGGATTGCTGTGATGATAAATAAGTCAGTGAACTTTGTCCTATAAGCGTTCACTATTTATTGGCTGTTAATAGTAACAGTAATTATGCTGACAACAAGAATAGTTACAATGACAATAGGTCATTTCTTTGTTAGTTGAAGGCAAAACAATCAATGGAGGCTGATCCAAGGAAAGGAAGGACGTGCCTAACTGGCCTCTTCCTTTCATTCCTCTGGCTGTCCTTTTCCCAGAGCCCAGGACCCTTGTGACAAAGCCCACCAGGAATGCATCCAGAATGAAAGTAGACAGGTCTGCTTCCTCCAAGGTCCAGCCAAATCAAACCCTTGGACTAGAGATCTCCTTTGAGGGCTAGTTCATCTCAGGGGCTTTCCTCTCTGGAGATCCTGTAATTGGCTTCTTCCTTAACCCTCAGTCAGCATCCTTGGTAGGAATTGGCCACTTGATAAGTCTATGGCTGTGGAAGCAAGGCTACAGGAGAGCAACGGCTGGGAATGGAAAACACACTAACGGGTCTCCACCTCACATAGTTTATAGCCTATAGAGCACGTCCCCGTAGTTACCAGGTCCCCAGAAGACAGTAAGTGCTTGTCAATATTAGCCATTATCACAGATGCTAGGTACTTTACTTATATCACCCTATTTAATCCTCTTAACAAGTGTGTGAGATAGATGTTATCATTACCCCCATTTGACAGGTGAGCAAACTCAGGTTAAGTTACTTGCCCAAGATCACAGAGTAAGTGGTAGCACCAGACTTATATGCTTTTATACTCAGCATGGTTTTGCCATCCTAACATATCTGATTGCATCTCCCAACGGCCCTTTAATGTGGGTGGCAGGTATATGCTCCTCATTTTATAGCTCATTTGAGGAAACCAAGCATTGTTAAATAATATTCCTAAGGTAAAAACACTGGTAAATAGCTCAACCCGAATTCTGTACCTCATTAGTGTTGTGCCCATTCTTGTTATACATATAAGGTAAGATTTTTCAGAGCTTGATGATCAAACTGATATAGATAACAGATACATAATAACACAAATATATTTCTCTGGCAACTTAGGGTATGGAGATAAAGAAAAACCTGAACTCTAATTCCCATACAAATTAGAAGTGTGCTCTTTGCTTCATTCAGCAGCATTGTGCCACACACGTAAGCAAATATTTAATTAGACAGGCAAAACACAACTTCCACTAGGATGCTTAAATAGGAAAATATAGAATCATTTTGACTAGATCTCTGTAAACACAGGAATTTTACTAAACTTATTTGATTATTGGGCTTCCATTTCAGAACAAAATGGTGACTGATCAGCATCCTCAGCCAAGTGATTCCCATAGTAGCCAATGCAGCAGGTTCCCTTCTAATATTTAATTCACTCCAATTTTCATATTTAGTTACCAACTGTGGGCCAAATTGCATTATAACTTCCCTGGTGTACTTTTCGTTGATGGTACCAGAACTGCAAGCATGGAAGAACAAGTGGACTGAAATGTAGCTATTATTGTGATATCACACTGCTCTCTCATTGATTTATAGAAATCTTCAATTCACTGGCACCTGCCAGAAGTATTTCCATTCAAAACAACTCAAAGTCTTCCCTAACTTTGATTTTAGCTATTGCCAACTGCTGATTCTGGGAACTCCCTGTTCTTTGATGCTTTCATTTATACTGAGTGTCTACTAGGTGCCATGTACTATGCTAAATGTCTAGCACAGTACTTTGCTTTCTATCCTAGGAACTTGAGTATTTTTGCTTTTATGTAGAGAGGTAGGCTCATAATTGTTATATCTATCCATAAGAAACTCCATGATGGCTATGAAATCACACTTCTGTTTTAAAAGTCCTTAAGAGGCTTAACTAAAAGAGAAAATCCTTTGCCTACACAATCCTTCCAGGCACCACTCTGGAGCACTGACTGATTCCTTGCTGTCTGAGAGCCCGGTATTACCAACAAATCACTGAGATGACTTACGGCAGCTGAGCTATTTTTTCTGGAGTTCTTCCATCCAACTACTGACCATGGCTGGCTCTGATTAGCTTGTGAGATCACAGTGAGAGGTTTAGGCAGCAGGCATTGTTGCCTGGGTAAATAGCTGTCAGAGTATGGCCAATAGGTACAGGCATGGGGTGTGTGTCATGGATTCGCTCCATCTCTAAAGTCAGAGAAGAGCTCTAGGTGCACCATGTCAAAAGACAGCACGCTCCACATGTGTTCCTTTACCTGCTCCCTAAGGCAAGGTGAGTTTGATTGCATTTTAGAGCCAATGGAATAAGGATGTTGAGCTGAATTTCATCACATGGCTGGAAAGTAAATCAGATGAGACCTTTACACAATGGAGTGAATGTCCATATCTGGGCCTTCAGAAAAATACTGCTTTGTTAAAAAAGAGGAGATCCAGTTGCTACATTTAGGTAGTAACGTATCCTTGCTCTTTGGCAGATAGAAGATCACTGTGCTTCTTTTCACTACTCAAATGAAGTCTTGAAACATTTTTGTAAATTCAAAAAAAAAAAAAAGAAAAACAAAAACTTTCCTCTTATCTGAGAACAAAATATAAGTGAAAGAAGAGGAATCAGGTTCAAAATCTCACATTTACACATTTCTTTTAGCTTAGATATTTCACTAATTTGTCATTACAGCTTATTTTAATAGGGCATAATTATGGACAAAAAGACATCCCAAATATAATTATATTCTATCTAGAGTTTATTTTTGATGAGCAGGTCTATTTTCAAGCAATCTGTGAGTGGAGAATAATTTGCTGTAAACAAACTCTCCCAGATGCTGAGCCACAAAGCTATATCGACACCAAGATGCTGCCCAATAACCATCCCTGGA